CAAATGCACCAAGATTCCATCCAAATAAGAGCAAAGGAGTGAACTCATGTGCCAATGTAATCGCCCTCAAGCCCCACCAACACAGTACCCAATGTCGCTCATCTGTGTCCGGCGTCATCGTCTTCCCATCCTTGCTCGCCCCTCCCATCCTTCATCGTCGTCCTATGCTTCATCGCCCTCCCATCCTTCATCACCCTCCCATCCCTGGTCGCCCCTCCCATCGGCCAGACCCAGGAGTTTGTACTCGTGCGTCTGCGACTCTTGTGTCGTATAGATCTTCTGGGTACATTCCTGGCTGAGGGCGTCTTTAGATCCTGACGAAGGAACCTGCAGTCGTGTGTCTGCACCTTATGCCATATAGATCTTCCAGGTGTGTACACAGTTGAGGCCCAGGTAAACAGTCTAGGAACCCCGCAAAAAAAATTCGAATTTTTCAAAATAGGGGTCCAACCGGACCCTCCGAACGGGACACTGGACCCGGACACCGGACACCGGAGTGTCTGGATCGGGATCCTGAGGTCCCGTTGGTAACCATGGTAAATTTTCAACGTGGCACCAACAAAGTGAGGCTATGAGATGTTCACATAGGATGGCAGTTGACGAACCTGTGAGCACTCGAAACCCAGTCTAAACCTTCCTGATTGGTCTCGGATCAGGTATAAATTGGGACACGTCATAAAAACCCTCCCGACAAAACCTTTGTATCCATTTCCCCTTAATCCAGGCAAAAGGTGCCGCAGGTCCCAAAATGACCTTTGGAGTCATTTTCGCACCCTATCACACTTTCGCGCCATTTTTGCACAATGGGCCTAAAGAATACAGAAGTCTTGGTGCGGGGAGGTTTTACAACTTTTCGCGTATAAATTTGATCAGAACAGACACTGCGCTCGATTGTTCGCAAAATTTCTGGCTAAATACAATAATACATCGAGTGTAGCATCTGGAAGGAACATGAATATGGACAAAGCACAGAAATCCAGATTGCAAATTCACATTGAAGTCCAAGTAGTCAAAGCCAGAGGAGATAGTACAATGGAACCGAGTAACCATCCAATTGAGAACAATACAGAAGTATCGTGAGTCAATGTCCATGCCCAACAGGGCAACACCAACAGCATACCCCAATGTAG